GGGACTATTTTGTGATGAAAAGAGGGAACTGGTGGTGAAAAGGTTAAATTCACACAGATCTGAGATGTGCCTCGGTTCATCCTCTCCATTAAATACTTGCGGGACAAGTCTTTCTTCTGAATTTGAATATTCATCCATATTGTTGCGACACTGACAATGTACATGTCAGAAGCCTACTAAAACTCAGACCACCAATAAAGTACTGTAATGTACTTTATTTTCGCTTGGAATTAATTTTCGCTATTTTCGCTGAGGGGATGATTCCGTGAAAATAAAATCCAGCGAATATACTTTTTTTCCTATATTTCACATTAAACTCATCAAAAATCAGTGAAAATATATTCCATACGAAACGCCCAAAAAGCCCTTTCAGTGAAAATTAATTCCAGCGAAAATAAAGTATTCCGCAAAGTAATCAGACCACTTCATGATAGTCTCAATGGACACGATTATTTGGAAAAGTAAAGTGATGTTCTATGACCATGTTTCATGACTTGACGATCACATTTTTGGTGTTTCTAAAACTACTACTCAAAAGAAATATTGATTACTTCAGTATTGCAACATCTGGGTTCATCGTGAGTAATCAACGCCCAGTAAAAACACCCTGGGCATATACTGGGGGGTGCCCTCAACTCGTTAAATGTCTAAAAACAGAGGGATGGGCTTATACTCTGGGAGGGGCTTATGATCGGGGAAGTATGGTAATTTAGTTGTTCTTTGGTGTAATACTGTTGAACCACCCTTACTCTTGATAAGATCTTGATTTAGTACTTTATGATTGTTAGTAAATAATCTACTGAATTGCAGTACACTTCTACGATGTCCATTTGGTCAAGGGTTGACCATTTATGGCCAATATATTGCATTAAAATATAGTTGTGCGACCACATTCACCGTAAAATCTGTATTAAAAGCTGCATCCCTAATAGAAGTCGCACCAATTCTTTTGTGAATAATTGAGAACCTCTGTTGCATTGTTCCATTTTAATAGAAGCCGCGATTTCTAATACAGATTTCACAGTACCGTTAACGGTACTTTCAATCTTAGTATATTCAAATAATTTGAAAAAAAAGCATAGATGAGGTACTGGGTAGTACAAATGGTTTACAAAATATTCCACTACATAATTTATTGTATGTCCTCTTCCCCTTCTGTAATATAAATTTTCCCAGAATGGGGATGGCCACAAGTCAGTGCCAGTGAGATTTGAAAGTCAAATGGGTGATTTTCCGTACAATTGCGAGATCTCGCGAGATGCATGAAAGACGCGTGTCGAACGTCTGCCGCAAAAATTGAACGATTTGATTTTGAACTAGTTTTTCTTTATTTCGTAGCTTACATTGACCGGCCGATCTTCGACAGAGGAATATTGCTTCCGAATATCCTCACTTAATCGAAATTGCCCATCATCAAATGTGGACAGCACATTATTGAGCATGGAAATGTCCCCGAAATACTTTCGCGTTTGTCGAATCCCACGCGATGTTTGACGCCACTACGGCGCTATGACCTTTGTTTGTCTTGTTTTTACGTTCGATTTCACGCATAACGCGTGATTCTCGCAGTGAACGGAAAATGGTCTATTTCACTCGCAAGTTTGAAATTTGGCTGCCCAATACTTCTGAGACTTACTGTATTTATGCAAGCTATAGTTAAATTGTTTATATACAATATTTTTTGTATTTAAAAGGCCGCAAAGATGAATAACACACATTGAAATCACTGAAAATAATAACACAGAGAGTAATGAATAATATTGTGACCCTCAGATATTTTGGGTTTAAATGAGAAGCATGAGAAATGTAATTTTTCAAAAATACTCAAATACCCAAATATTATTTTGCACTACAGACTTAGCATGTTATGAAGAACATTAAAAGTATTTTTTGAGTTCAAAAGAGAAGCGCATTAGAAAAATAATTGGACAAAATTACACAAACGACGGCAACATTTTTGTTGGCGTTTGCAGTGGCTCCTTTGTGAACCGAGAAGTTTTGTTGATCTTCAAAACATAATTGGACCTACTGTACTATTCAACATTTGTATCACTTGATGTATTTATAATCACTATATGCTAGTTCATCTAACCACAGTTACAAATACCGGTAGAACGTTTCTGATGTTGTATCACATTTGAACATGGTTTTTGGTGCTTTAAAGTTATTTCCGTATCTCAGAATCACCTTTAAAATGAAGTTGGTAAAATAATTAATATAATAGGAATAATCACCACAGATGCGGAGTATACCACTCGACAAAATCGTTATCGCTAGAAACTAGTCAAAATTTCGTGGTGTAACTCGCCTCTGGGGTGGTTATTCCTTAATTGTTTCCCAATTGTTCATCGGTAGTTCTCTCAACTATTATTTACAGAACCAGCGATGGAAATCGGGAAAAAAAACATTAAATAATAAATAGTACAAGTCGATTTATATGGATATTCAGCCTCAAATGGTTTAGATCGGATATTATATTCTACGTGAAACAGTACTGATCAGCTTCACATGTGTTCTAGCCGAACTCGTAGTCGCACTTACTTTCCTTTAGTTTTTGCTTGAAGAGAGGGTCGCTCCTCCGTTTATGATCGAAGTAAATACAGTATCCTAGAAAAAGAGTACCGCAGACGCCAGCAGCGATTCCAACTACTGTTTTGGTAATCATTATAAAGGTATTTTGCTGGCAGAAATAATCGAAATTGAGCCAGCCATCAATTAAAGATGGCACACGGTTCACGACGCATGCGTTGTACAAGTTTATAATAAGAGGCGTTACTTGATTGGTTATTTTTCTGAAGCTGGCTTCAACACACCAATAGGAGTTGCTGTTTTATACAAAACATTGCAAAGGTCAAATTAAAACTACACGTGTAACCTTTCAACTTCATTCTTCTTTTCACTTCCTGTTTGGGTTCGGCATAGCAACATGAACATGGCGGGAGTGAAATGAAACTGTATTTGAAAAGAACTTACACCCTAAATGTCACATATTCCATTCCTTATTATGACTACTGATGTGCACTGTTGAATCGATGAAACAGCGTAAAGTCGTCGCTCTGCTCAAACTTAAATGTTCTCGTAAATTATGTGTATATGTAGTAAACTATTATTGAATGAAGTTAATTTAAATTGTCAGTTTGACTTTGACAGCACACGGACCGACCGAGGACACTACACAATGTCTGCATCGTAAGTAAATTGATCTATCACTGTTTTTTAAAAATGACATAACTGTACATGTATAATCAAATCACAGTAAGCCGGCATTTACATCGCTGTACCCAGTTTCGTGTGCAGCTATAGATATGCCAACTGACTGTGAGTTAAATATGACACCTTAAATTACTGATATGATTAAAAACACGTGGTTTTATTGTCATTTATCAGAATAATAACAAAAAACTATCTGTCATAGGATCATAGTACATATAACCTGTTTGAAACACCTGTTGAAGTCTGTATTGAACAATTCATTGAACGAAAAACAAACAGATCCACTGTTAACCTTGGATCCAAAGCATTGTCAGTGTGGGCACTATTTATACTGCACCGCCGTGGGTCACTATTGTAAAATGGGGTGGATGCGTGAGATAGAATGCACTCATCAGTGATTCCCTATAGAATTAGAAGTATAATTTTTCAGATAAATCAAGTTTCTGGTTGTTATTAGTTTATAAAATAGTGCACATTAATTTGCTGTGCATCCACCTAATTTTGATTATAGTATGAACCATGGCAATGTTTGAGTGGGCAACTGACAACTGAATGTAAATACGAATCACTCTGACATCGCCATAGATCCAAGGCTTAGCTACTTGTGTGCCTGGCAAAGAACAAGTCAGTGGAATTGTCATTTTTGATTTTAAAGTAGTTCTATTGTATCTGTGAAATTACCCTGTATCCTGTCATTCTAATTACATGCCACACATGTTTTTTTTAAAACCTAAAAGGTTGGTGGTTGTCACACACTGCATGTTTGAATTTCAATATTTTATATATATTTTTTACATGACATATCAATTTACATGGTGCCTTACTTTCTGCAGACCATCGCACTTGTTCACATTATGCATGCATGCACACTGATAGGTTGGCGAGAACCGTTCATTCGCACTCGAAGATATAATAATGCAGTTGTTCACTACTGCTGTTATTAAATATACATGTATGTGTTCTGTTAAAATTAATAAAACAACTTATGGGCAATGTTATCGCCTGTGTTGATAAATAAACAACATTTGTTACCACACATTTGTATGCTGGTTGGCAAAAATGTGAACAACAATGTCACAGTGCGATGGCCAATAACATCAGGCAGTGCCAGAGTGATAAGTTGTGAATTTCGATACTTGGCAGAAATGCACGCAAGTATATACAATGAATTTGTTATTTTCTCATGTTATTTGCAGATTACTAAATTGCAGTAGTCTCATCCAAGCCAAGGCTAATCAATTGACAGTGCCCGATCTTTCAGGGGAAGATGACAATGTCGTCTCTGCACAGTTCTCCCCGCTGTCTGGAAATAAAAATGCACAGTACTTTTGTGTGGATATAAATCAAATGGGTAAGTTGTTTGTTAGCACACGGGTCATTGGCGGATTTGGCCGCGGCCCTCCTATTTTTAACAACCAACAGGGCTTTGCGCAAGCGGCGCTCACGAACTTGGCCTTGGTTATGCTCTTAAATGACAGTCAGTTTGATAAAACTATTAAAATGCTCTAATTTAAAATCAAGACAGATATTGACTAATGAATACAATTATATTGAAAATGAATTGACTGTTCACCTGATAAATTATAGAAATCTACATTTTTTCTCATTATTACATCTTTTTCAAAGTAGTAGAATTTATGGATAGGTATACTGATTCATGCTATCTTCTGGTAAGGACTTGATAACTCTGTAACATAATTCTGGTTAAGGACAACTTTTTAAAGTCAATGGGAAATTACATTTATTTGAACACAGTCTGATATAGAAATTATAGAGAAATACGTACAAATTTGCAAAATGTTACATCACCATTTTGGCAGGAAAAATTATAGCATATAAATTAGTTAAACATTGATTTAATAATATTTTGAATAAATGCCGCTGTCCCTTACCTGGGTTCCTGTCAGGATGGTTAATGTTTGAGGAGATTGCAGTGGATCATACAACCAACTCTCATATTGCTTTAAAATTTCCACAGCTGATGATGCATGTATTGGATTTGGAATCAGTGAAGAGCCTGAGCTGAGGGATGAGAGTGATGATGAAGATGGGGATGATGGTATAGCAAGAAGATCAAAGAGAAGAGAGACTGATGGAGTGGCTTATTTCAGCGATACAGGACATATTGTTAGCTGTCAACGTGTGCATAACAGTTATCACAGGGGAAAGTACAAGAAAGGTAGTTCACTAGATTTCATTACTGATTTCATTACTGATTTCATTACTGATTTTATTACTGATTTCTGAACTGATCTCATTACTGATGTTATTACTGATTCTATTACTGATTTTAAACTGAATTCATTACTGATTTCATTACTGATTCTATTACTGATGTTATTACTGATTTATGAACTGATCTCATTACTGATTTCATTACTGATTTCATTACTGATTCAATTACTGATTTCATTACTGATTTTAAACTGAATTCATTACTGTTTTCATTACTTATTCTATTACTGGTGTTATTAGTGATTTCATAATTGATTTCATAACTGATTTCATTACTGATTTTAAAAACTACTCTGATCTATTGGACTATTGATTTTTACAGTTACTAGCCATAAAAGTTGCCTTTTGAAAATTTATCCATTTGCATTCTGTATTTATATTTATATTTATGCTGAAAATAAATAAAGCAATAATTGTTTGGAATAATGATATTCTAACCTATTAATATTTGAAAACAAGTGACTTTGAATTCAGAATTAGTGAATTGTATTTTTTATTTGTTCTAGACTAGTGAGTCCTGTTTGGAAATTTTAACCTCTGGTTTCAAAATTAGTCTTGATTATTAAAATAAATGTTCAAAAATCAACATACTGATTTTTTTTTTTTAGGGATATGGTTAAAATGCATTATCATTTTTATATTCTAACTCACAGGTGCATCAGTCGGTGTGTTCCCAGAGTATGTAACGGACAAAAGATCACTTGTGACGTTTTTCCGAGATAACCGACCTTTGCACAGACAGTGGGTTTCATTGGCACCATCTTCACTACGTCCCACATTAAACGCATGGTGGGGGCCGATAGAAGTAACATTTCAAAAAGGTCCTGCCCCCCAACTTGAACAGGTAAAGTCTGCTATCATAGTCCATTCCTAAAATCAATGTTCTATCATCTCTGAGAAAATGCAATTTTGCAAGTTTTATATTATTATATTTATCATTCTAAATTGTCTATTTTATGCCATTTGTTGATTAAATCTAGTTTTAAATGTCTCATCAAAATCTTGGGTGTGTTTATGTTGAAGATTTTTTTATATTTCATACGTCATTTTTATAATTTTACATCAATATTTTTGAATGAGAATTTGATTAGAATTTGTTGATGTGAACAGTTCAGACAAAAGAAAGATTCCAAAAGACATTCTTTTACATAGTTTCACTTTTAATAGCACCCAAATAAATAACTTCTCGTGGAGCAAATATATTGTTCAATATTTCTATAAAATTTTAACCAAATTCTTACATTTACATTCTTAGAACATGGGAAAGAATGTATTTTCAGGGATGTTAGTGATTTGACAATGCAGCAAATACACACTTTTTAATGTTTGTCAAACAGCATTTTGGAAACTCACCTAGTGCATGACATTATCTCAACATGGCATTTAACCTTTTCACCACCAATTACCTCTTTTCATCACAAATTCACAAAATAGTCTCGTTTATAGTCTGCACTTTTCTTCAGAAGATTGGGACAAAAATAGTCAAATTCTTTGAGTAAATACTGAAAAACTGACTCACATTTTGTTGGCTCCAAAATTTAGATTCATTTCCAGAAATAATTGAAAAATATAATTGAAAAGGTGCAGACAAATTTGGATGAAAAGGTTCTGTTGACTGTTGAGAATGAATTAACATGATGGTTCTTTCTACAGGACAATTTATCCCATTGGCTTTTAGACAAGACTTTACGTGTTAGTGACGACAGACAACTATCGTTAAATGATGATATCATGGTGGCGCCAAGTACAGCTAGGGCTCCTTGTCCATTGAATAATGGTGAGATAAATAACTGTTTTATTGAATTCATTGTCATTGAGTCTGACTATAATTTAAATGGCTTAAACTTTCCATGAGACTTATTTTTGTTGGTGTGAGTGAACGATGGGGTATCCTACTATAATAGAATCATTGTTCATTACCCGTGACGTATCAACACTCCCACAACATATAACAATTGAAGTCAAACTCAAACTTTCTTCATCAGTTTTGTTTATATTTTTAATTTTTTTTCTGCATGAAGAGTATTTTGAGATCACGATGGAATCAGTCGGCCCTCTATCAGCTGAGGACGTTCCTATCTGCATTGGTCTTACTTCAGCCGAGGTGTCATCGCATACCATTCCAGGAACAGTGACAGAGTCAGTTGGTTACCATGGTGATGAGGGAAAAATATACAACAGCGATGATGACATTGGTAAGTCTGTTTAGATATATACCACTGTGTAGATAGGTACCTGCCATCCGGTGCCAATTTACAGTCATAATTGTCTGTTTTCACTGACATTTAGTTTCACTACTATTTTGATGTTTTGAGCCTATTCACTGTGTTTTAATTTCCTAAATTTGTCAAAGAAACAATGAGTTTTATTGTTATTTTACATGTTCTCATAGATTTAATTTAGCGGATTTTACTTATCAATGAAAATAGCAAAATTAAAACCCAGTGAATAATAAATGCATTTACAGTATATTACTAAGATTGCAGTATTGATGTGCATTCTGATAAAAATCTGATTTTTACATCATATTTTAATCAGATTGTATTGATGTGGTAACATGTAATACATTAATACATAGGCGTGTTCTTCCATTTTCTATCTTCCCAAAATACAAAAGCTCGTCCCGGTCGTCCCCTCACTTCCTTGCATTAAAATAGGATAACTTAGGATATTATGTTAGTAAATTGATGGCCACACAAATCTTACTGCAAAAATCGGTGCCATTTGGCTCCTATTTCTGAGTGAAATTTTTTTTTTTTGGCTTACCGAATTATCGAAAAGTCTAATGGTACAAATTTTGAAGTTGTATTGTTGGCAAAATTTAGTTGTAGCCCAATTTTGAGTAATTTTGCCAGAACTCAAATCTGAAAGTTACTATCTGTGGTTATAGTATCGAAGCTGTGTTTCAAATTCTACTTCAGTATGC